GAGGTGGGAGAGGCGGGCAATCTTAACCACTACACCACCAGGACTGGCCACAGCAAGTTATTTAAATAAAATCTATAAAATAGATAGTTATGCAGAGTTATAGGAAAGATGCTCTTTACCTGGCTGGGTCTTTCAATGTGGGATTTGATTAGAATTATGTGAGGATCAAGATGTAATTAAGTTTAGGATTGGTAGAAGCAGCAAGGTGAGGATTTTAAGGTGAGGGTCTCAAGGAGTTTCGGTGTGTAAACTATTTCTTGATGCTTTCTGTTGAAGAGTTCCAGGAAGTTCCTATAATGAACAAATAAGTGATTTGCCTGGGCAAGAGTTTCCTGGAATGATAAAGTTGCGTTGACGGAAACAATGGAATAGTAAAGCAATGTTAATGCAGACAAAGCAAGCTGTGTGGGCTGGATGGTTTCAGTTCTCAGAAGGAAGAGGCAGAAGAACTGTAGATACCCAGAGAGTGGGCAATGCAGAGAGCAGCCCGCGACAGAGATGAGCAGAGCAATTGATGGAGTGGCAGTAACTTAGGTAAGATTCAAGAACGTCTCTGTAGGGAGAAAGAGCCCATGGTTTATCTCTCTCCACTTACATTCCTTCTTGGACGTGAAATCTTCTATGGAAACTTAAGAATTATTTTTACTGGGGAATTTTGGATATAGAGAGGTAAAAAAAATGGCTTTTTGTGCCAAGGAAATAAATGACAGTTTTGGAAACAACAAAAATCAAGTATCTAAAGGATAAGGCTACGTGCCAAAAATCATTGAATAACAAAACAAACTTAACCAAAATCCCACTTACAACAATAATAACAGCAAAACATCATTTTAATTTCAAAAGAATATTTCACTTGCAGCCTTTATAAGCATTGGTTGGTTAACTGATCACTCTAAAATTGTTTTCTAATCATTGGTGTCTAGGCGACAGTTATCCTCATAAATCTCTTACTTAGTAGGTATAATATTTTTTATGGCTTAAATTTTGCAGATACTTTTATGTCAAAGTGACCCAGGAATAGAAATGAGTGTGCTTATAGTATATTCAAGATGCAATGGGTTGATTGATCCCTTTCCATAGAATTCTCTAGGACCATTCTTGGTGTCAATGTGCTCTCTGGGAATCACCAGGCTGCTTGCAAAGGTCTAGAAAGAGTTACGATAGATCACATTGTGAGGCTTTCCAGTTTATCAACTACTTTATGGCTGCGGTTTTCTCTTCTTAGTTTTTGTGTCTTTTACTAGTCAAACACAAAACCAATTGTTTGAGTTCCTACCAGTCAAGTTTTCTTTGTTTTGCGACCATCTCTTTTTATTATAATCCATCTTCTTTCTCCAAGATTCTGCTGTAAACAATCTGTAAAACGGAGGCTTTCTTTCTCTAAAACCCAAGAATATCTTGGTCCCTGGGCCTGGAAGCACTGCCCTTATTTATGAGAAACTGGTTAAATTTTCCCTTTCCATTTTTCTACTCCCTCCATCACAATTCTCAGCCCTCAGACAGGCCTTCGAATGTGATGAATTGAGGAAAACTCCAATTTGCAGGAAAGAATTTGTCTGTGAAATCAAGCTATGAGGTCTAGAGCTAAAACCATCTCCACACACCTACCCGACACAAGAGCCAAAGAGTTAACATGTTTAAGAAGGAATTGCGCCTCCCAGTGGTCTCTTTCAATGTCCTCATGGCTCACCTGAATAAATTAAGGCCCCTGCACAAAAAGGAAAAGAGATTTGCTCAAGAGAAAACATCTTAGTCTCTAATCTCTTCTCACAAAAAAATTAACATTGGCAAAGCAATTGAATTGGGAGAATTTCCTTACGTCTTCTTTGCTCAAAAATTTTGTTGTTTGTCTGTGTAGTTATACTTGTGATTATTCACAGCGTTAGAAACAACAGCTTGAGTACAGACCAGGTTTTTCTTCTGAAAACATCAAACCACTTTTGAGTCTTTTATCTCAGCTGGCAGAATCTGGCACACATCATGCTCATTCTAGCAGATGTTAAGGGTTGTTAATAAAATATGAATACATGTGTATTTATTCAGATTTCATTGTAAACATATTTACCAATTTTGTTCCTCTCAGATATAACATTTCCTGATTTCAAAGAAGAAACTCCTGAGAGGGCAACATCATCTGCCTAAGACCTAATACAAATATCAGAAGGTGGAGCTGATTCAATGTTTGAATATTAACAGTCGTGACCTTCACGCAAACACGGAACACTTCAGTATTCATTGGCTGGAGGGATTACGTGAAGCCACCCCTGCTGAACCCTGGGGAAACCTAACTAAGCACTTTATGGATATAGCTGTTGCCTTCCTATTTTTTCTTTAAAGGTGGAGAAAATGATGCCATGACATTAATGAGTCTTCTTGTAAAAGAACAAAAACAGATGTTTTTCTCCTGCCTTCAACCCTTGCTGCTTTTCTCTAATTTTCCCCTTTCTACTTTTTTTTGGCTATCTTCCCTGCCTCTGAACCTTAATTAATTGAAACACTGCAAGACTTGTTAAACAGTTCTTGAAAATAACCTTCTGACGGTTACCAGAACAGCGTGGCACATCTCTAGGATCCCAAACAAGAGGCACAGAAACTAGAACAATTGCCTACTATTCTACCTGCTAGTTTTGCAGCAAAGACAAACACTGCTACTTGAGCCCAACTACACAGACACAAATCACTGTCTTCTGCTCACTCTCATAGAATTCCAACCCAGTTATCCCATCTTGGGTACCCTCTGATGTGCATCAGATGAATAAAGCCTTTATTTGAGCCATTTCAACTGTTTTCTTTTGACACTGTGAAATAGAGACCAGCCAAAGCCTACTCACCCTAGTATCTCCTCTTGGAAATCTTTGCTCACCCCTAAGGACTGGATGGATGACTATTCACTCCCAGGTTATCTAGAAATTCCTTTATTTTTTATTTTTGCTGAAAAAGATTTGCCCTGAGCTAACATCTGTTGCCAATCTTCCTCCATTTTGTGTGTGGGTCACTGCCACAACATGGCTACTGACAAGTGGTGTAGGTCTGTGCCCCCAACCAAACCTCTGCTGCTAAGGTGGAGGAGGCAGAACCCAACCACTAGGCCACAGGGCAAATTCCTTCTTTATGACATTTAGCATATTGAATGACAATTGCCTCTTTGTTACTTTCAAGAGAACATAAGCTCCTTGCAGGCAGGGACTTTGCTTTGTGTTGACAGATAAGAGACACTCATATATTTCCTAAATGAATGACTGAATAAATTGAGTTATGTAGGTACAAAGTGTTGATACCTTCTTGTTAAGCTTGCCTGATTTGAAGCCTAGCTATGCTCCTTAACCCGGCCAGACCTCAGCATTTAACTGCGTTAAAAGAATCTGTGTATGCAGAAATAGGGTAACTGAAGAGCTGTCAATTATCACCAATATCCAAGGAAAACGCTCTAGGCTTTACTTCCATAATTCGTCACTGTGTGTTTCAGATGACGTTAAACAAGTTAGTCACTATTGGTCTGTTCTTGGCAAATAACTGCTGGACATTAAATGTGGTAGCAACATTTCCATGTTAGGGTTATCTCTGCCCCCACCTCCTCCATCTTTTTCTGTATGTGCTGTTTTGGCACACTTAAATATCATGGATATTTTTAAGTTTCTGCACAGATCCAGTAGTATTGATAAGCAATGATTCCTCTGGATGGATGAGTGCTGTCACTTTCGAGACTGACTGTCTCTTTGAAGACCCAGATCTCTAATATGTGACTCAGTATCCTTGGGGCTGAGGTCTTGATGGATCCAATTTCTTAGCCTCAGCTGAGAAAAATGATTCTTTCCCTTTTGCTTTCTCTATTATAAAATATGAAGCATGATATATAATATAAGGCTTATTGGACTTTATGTTACCAGCCCAGAACATGGCACCTAGTAGATGCTCCTTAAATGTTTGCTGAGTGAGAGGAAAACAGATGATTAAAGGTTGTAGTCATTGCAATAAGTCATGATAGACATGAGAGCAGGAGCCACTGGAGGTCAGAAGAGAAGCAGGGTTAGCACAATCATATTTGGTCCTGTCTGCTTCTGCTTTTCATCCTTTTTCTTCTCCTTCAACCTAACAGAAGAAAGAACCCTAGGATTCGTGTCATCAGAATTTACCATTCTCCAAATCTGTTCTCCAAAATATGGGCCATAGGATTTTAGTTCCATGAGATGAAGATGTCACCTTGTCACACAATGTATAAGAGGCTGGCAGTAGCCACTTGTCTCTTCTTGGCACACACTATTCCAGGAACTCTGATGGCTTCTTCCTGCAAGCTCCTAGAACTCTCTACTCAAGGGCTTTCGCAGAGCTCAACTCACTGCAGGACATAATGGAGGTGCTGAGGAGTTAATAGCCCTGGGATTAGGCTTTGGCCAAGGATGGAAGGGAGTTGGTAGATGAAAACTTGAGCTTCCTTGCCTCTTAGATGGGACAACTCTGAGGTGTGTTTGATACTGTCGCCAAAAGTCCCCAGAGGAGTCCACAGCGGTATTCTCTTCCCTCTCCTGCTTCACTTCCGGGCTTCCTTAATAAACTCTTTGCATTCAAATCCTTGTCTTAGTTCTGCTTAAGGGAACCAACATTAACAAACACATCAAATGGCTTCCTGAGTCAAAGAAATTTGGAAAGTATTGGGATAAAATTACCTAGATGTCTGCTTCTCAGAGTCTTTAATATTCTAATATTTACTTGAATCTCAAAGGCACAGGATTATTCCCAGACTTAATTAGGATTGTCTTCCCCTCCACTTCAAGCATTTTATGAGATTTACTTGTGAGGAACAAATTGGGAATTTTACTTTTTACACATTCCAACACCAACAAAATCTCCTTATAAGAAAGATTTTATAGCAAGATATTTAATCTTAAAGGATTAGAAACTTTTGTGTTGGAATTATTTTAAGTAGTTTGAATAACCCAGCATGATTTTCAAAGGCTGAGAAACTCTGAACCATTGTGAGGTCATAACTTCAGCTCCACCTCGGATGATCAGTCTTGGTGAGCAGACAGTTAACTCAAATGATGGGGTAGCCTCAGTTCCTAAGACGCGGGCAAGGAAGTAACGGCAATGGTAAATGCAGTAACATTCTAAGCCTCGTAGAAATACTCTCAGCTCTCCGTGATCTGGAAAGACTGATATGATTCCCATTTTATAAATGAGGAAACTGAAACTCTCGGAAGGTTAATTATCCAAAGTCACACTGCTAAACAGTGGCAAATCCAGGGCCAGAAGTCCTATCTCCATCCTAGTCAGTGCTCTTTTCTCTATTCCATGTTGCTTCTGTGTGATGCAGGAGCAAGAGGATGGAGCAGAGACAGAGCGGAGAAAATGAGGGTGAGAATCTGGGAAAAGAGCAGAGCTAGGGGTTCGTATTAGAGGCTCTTACCCTGGTGCATCTTCGGACAGGAATAAAAGTCAGTGTTGGCTTTCCCTTTCTGTCATGTTCTCTCTCTTCTTCCTTAAATACATTATGGTAGCCACGGTAGTGAACAAGATTTCCACCCCAGTATGTCACAACCTCTGCCTTCTCCTCATTTATATCTTTCTGAGAAATCCAATTTGTGGACCATATGTTTGATTTCAGGAGAGGGGCTTGAGTTAAAACCACTTTCTTGTTCTTGAATTAAAGCAGCCCTGATAGGGGTTTTCATGTAATCCTTAACTATTTTAAATAGAGGTTAATGATCTGAATAGGAAAACTAGGAACAAGGCCTACAGCTCCAGATCTGGAAGAAAATCTACTGAAGACCTTTTAAAACAGAGTAAAATGGAAAGTGAAAAGCAGGCCTTTGAGTTTTTCTAATTGCCTTGGAATTTGTCTCATAAATATTTGTGCTGTGTCACTACTGTGATTAACTGTATGTCGCTTAGTCTTTCTCTACTTTTTGTGGTTTCCAATATGTCAAATACCCTGAAGATAATTCTAAGAGATTCAGACAATGACAAATGGCTTTATGAATCCTTAAAGGTAAAGAAAACAAAAACTTAGTCACATAGAACTTCTGGTTCTTGGAGGTGGAGTTTAATGTAATGGTTCTCAGTCTACCTTCTACCATGAGACGCAGGATGGATGATGCCTCCCGATGCCTCTCTTGTGGGCACACCCAACACTGGCTGTAGTGCCATTTCTTTCTCCTTCATTCAAGAGATTTTATCCTACTAAATAGTAATTTATTGTGAATTTAGTAATTTATCACCAACGTTATTTTAAATAAATATATTAAAAATAAATACTTAAAAATAATTATTTCAATACTAAAGCTTCATCTCTAATTGGACAGCATGATTATATATTCTTGCAAAATTTTTTAAACAGTAGATATGTATAGTTTAAAAACTAAAAGCTTCCCTTCCCCCTACTCTATTCTCCCCGTCCTGCCCCCTTCCTGAAATAATCACTATTAATAGTTTGAGGTTGTATCCTTTAACAAGAGAGCAGTTAGGGTCTTTCTCTTGCTGTTATTGTTACGTTGCTATTTTTACTATTACAAGCAATCCTGCCTTTTGTGCACATGACTAATATTTCCCAGTCTGAAAATATGCCTCTTTTAAACTTTGGCAGATACTGGCGAAGTCTCCAAAGGCCTAGAACAACAAGTACACGGATCAATGGTCCAAGAGATCACCCGTTTTCACCCGCCTTTGCCAAAATGGAATATTATCACTCTTTATTCTAAGTTGATGGCAGAAAAATGACATCATTGTTTCAGTTTGCATTTCTTTGGCCACTAGTGAGATAAAAACAACTTTTTAGTAATCTTTTTTGGCCATTTGACTTCTTTTAGGAATTATTTATTCTAACTCTGCTGGTTATTCACTTGTCTCTCAAACCCAAATTCATCCTTCCATGTTCTGCTCTGTTGTGATGGAACTGAAACTCTGGAAACTAGATTTCTCTGTCCTCCTTGCTTCCTTGGGTCTGTCAACAGGAGGGAGTCTATATTAGAGGGGGATCGGGAGACAGGAAAAGGAGAAGGGACTGCACGGTTTTCCCTATTGCTGTCAGCCCAGCTCTGGCAGCAGCAATTTGCTCCAGCTGCAGGCTTCTTTCAGCCTCCCCGGAGCTAGTCACATTACTCCCTCGCAACCACATCTCCTGACCTGCGGCTTCTGCTGGGCCTGCCCCTTTATTCTCTTCTTCTACCAGCCCTGGAAGTGACAGCTAGGTTACCTCTCTGTTCCTTCAGCCCTCCAACGCCTGGGTAGCCAATTTCCTGTATTAAGTCTCCTGTCCAAAATACTTAATGTGTTTCTGGTTTCCTGACTGAACCCTGACTATTCGCTAATTTATCAATTAGAATATTAATATTATTCTTATCAATTTGCAAGAGCTCTTTCTAAATTAATACCTTGCTTTAAATTTTGTAAATATATTCTCCCAGTCATTCACTTGTCTTTTAACCTTCTCTATATTGTTTTTTTTTTCTTACAGAGGTTATATATTTGAGTGAGCAAGGGTTAAATCTTTTTACTTATGATGTATGAATTTTCCATTTTGCTATCTTGAGTAGTACAAGAAACATTTTTCTATGTTTTCTTCCAATGTCCTATAGTTTTGCTTTTCACATCTAACTCTTCGATTTGTATGAAACTTATTTTTGTGTAAGGCAAGAAGCTAACTTACTTTTTTCCCCAAACTGATAGCCAATTGTTGCAACTCAGTTATTGAATAGTCAGTATTATCCCAATTATTTGAAATGCCATATTTGTTATATGCAAAATTTCCATATTCTTATGTTTGGGTCTTAGCTTGTGTTCCCTAGTGAATACAACTTGAGGCGAAGATCACATGAAAATGATTTAGTAGAGTATGCAAGCCGTGGCCCCTGGAATGTGGGGACATGAAAAGGTGTGAGAGAGGGAAAGAGAGGAAGTAAATACAAAATGGTGAATTACCAGGCTGGCCATGTCCTCAAAAGAAAAAAAGTATAGCCAACTTCTCAGTCCTTTGGGGCTGGCAAGGCCATATGGAATCACTGTATCTTAGTATAGTCTGTTTGGAGGGGAAAAGGATGAGGAAGTTATGTGCAGGCTTTTTTCTTAATTTTATTCCCTGTCTCTCATTGGTCAAATTTTGCCCCACTATAGTTAACTTTGAAGCACTTCCTGGTCATGTTTAACTAACATCCCTTCCTCCCATCTTCCAAGGAAGTCAGAGCCACTGTGGATATGATAGGGTCAGGCCTGGGCACTGAAGTGACCGGGGCCACCCCTGCAGCAGGCACAATGATGCTGTGCTGGAACACAACCTCAAGTCTCCCAAGAAAAATGAGACACTCAGCAGTATTAGAAGATAAGTGATGTCTGGGGCCCCAGGGTCTCCACTGAGCAAGTGGTCCAGACTGGGGAATAGGTGGGCCTGATGGAATCCAGGGAAATGCACACCCTCTACACCACGGATCTGGGTGGTACAATATGGATCTGCTTCCGTACTCTACAATGTGTGCCACTGATCTGTCAATGTCTTTTTTTTTTTTAAAGATTTTATTTTTTTCCTTTTTCTCCCCAAAGCCCCCCGGTACATAGTTGTATTATATTCTTCGTGGTGGGTCCTTCTAGTTGTGGCATGTGGGACGCTGCCTCAGCGTGGTCTGATGAGCAGTGCCATGTCCGCGCCCAGGATTCGAACCAACGAAACACTGGGCCGCCTGCAGCGGAGCGCGTGAACTTAACCACTTGGCCATGGGGCCAGCCCTTGTCAATAAGTCTTTATATTTGATGGTGGGAAGCCCTCTATGAGGAACTCATTGTCAGGAAACAGCGTCTAAGACCCTGTGGCTTTATAATTTTCATCAACTTTGGAAAAGTTTTGCTCATTATTTCTTTAAATATTTTTTCCTGTCCCTCCTCTTCTCTCCTTTGGAGATTCCAATTACACATATTTTAGACGATTTGACCTTATTCCCATCTCATTAATGCTCTATTCATGTCTTTTGCCTTTTTTTCTCTGTATTTCATTTTGAATAGTTTCTATTGTTGTGTGTTCAAGTTAAGCAAACTTTTCTTCTTTTCTTACCTTATACTGTAATGTCTAATCTGCCTTTGATCTCATATATATATATTTTTTTATCTCAAATATTATAGTTTTGACCTCAAGAAGTTCAATTTAGATCTTTTCTGTATCTTCCATCACTCTAATTAACGTGTTCAATAATTCCTCTGGTTTCTTTTTTTTTTTTTTTTTTAGGATTTTATTTTTTTTAAAGATTTTTATTTTTTCCTTTTTCTCCCCAAAGCCCCCCAGTACATAGTTGTATATTCTTCGTTGTGGGTCCTTCTAGTTGTGGCATGTGGGACGCTGCCTCAGCGTGGTTTGATGAGCAGTGCCATGTCCGCGCCCAGGATTCGAACCAACGAAACACTGGGCCGCCTGCAGCGGAGCGCGCGAACGTAACCACTCGGCCACGGGGCCAGCCCCAATTCCTCTGGTTTCTTGAACGCATGGTTATAATAACTATTTTATTGTTCTGTCTTAGAATTCCATCATCTGTATCATTTATAGGTTAGTTTCCACTGACTGCTTTTTCTTTTCATGAGGTTTTACTTGATTAAATTTTCTCCTTATGATGGGTCATATTTTCCTGCTTCTTTTCAGGTCTGATAAATTTTGGTTGGATGCTGGACACTGTAAATTTTCACTTTTGGGTGCTGGGTATTTTTAAATCTACTTACGTATTTTTGAGCTTTTATTTTTTAGGGACATAGGTAAGTAACTTGGAAACAATTTGATCCTTTCAGGTCTGTTTTTGAGCTAATTTTACCCCCAGAAACGAAGGAAAATCTTTCTGAGTGCTCTACCTGATGCCTCGTGAATTACAAGGTTTTCCACTTTGACCTGTGGGAATAGGAACTAGTCTCATCATTTTGAGTGGTTCTTTCTTTGACCTCGGATAGCTTCTTCTCACACATGAGCTGATAAAGGACTTAGCTGAATACTAAAGGGAGAACTTTCTTTAAGTTTCCAGAGCTCTCTCTCCATGCGCTCTCCTCTCTGAGCTGTAGACTCTAGTCGCCTTGGCCCCTGTGGACACCCAGAGCAATCTCCTCAACGCTAGGAGAACACAAGCTCC